AGCGACGTCCTACTTCACTAAAAGCATATTATTTTTTACCAGCATTTGCAATTTTCTAACAAAGAGAAGGATCTGAAGAAAATTTATTTCACTGGCAGATTTAACTGTTCAATGATCAGTGTTTTGGGAGTATGGGGAAGTAAACATGCAACTCGGTAATGCCCATGGTGTCTTATTTAATGCGATTTAATTTGCACAACGTGCTAATAATCGGTCGGAGAAGGAGTTGATACGATTTGCTTCAATAAAAACGCCTCTAGTAATTGAGTAAAATTTCCATTTGAACAGTAAGGGAGATAACCCTTAAGACCATATCATTTTAATGCCTTTATTCAAAAGCGATTTTGTCAAAATGTTTGATTTTACAGAATAGTTGCAATACGATAATGTTCAGACCAAAAAATTGAATACAATCGCAACTATTTGTGCGTTTAAATTTTTATTTTGGAAAGTAGGTCATATTTATGTTAATCAGATCAAGGGAGGTAACCGATCTACAAATAATTTATAACTATCAATGATTCATTTGTGCGTTGATTTCAGCTAAAAAGAGCAAATTAAAGCATCTGTTAAAAGAATCAGGTTCACAATTCTTACGCTCTTCAGGTGTAAAGATACGCTAACAGTTCTCTGCGTCTGTAATTCCCGATAAAGCAAAAAACTTCATCAAATCGTCATTGTAGGGTGAGATTTGAGCTACACGCTACAGGTTTCGCCTTTAGTTTACGATACCTTTTAAGAGTCTAAATTAATAACTTTTACTTTCAATTTGAATCCTTTTATACGGCACTGCTAAATATATGACGATACAAAGCCTAACATTAATGAATTACTTTACATTGACTTTTAGGCTATAAACTATCCTTACTGTAAATCTTTAAACCCAAAATAGAATATTCGTACATTTGAAAACCTACAAGATATTTTAATATTTTGAAAGCTAACCAAATTAAATTTATTCAGTCGTCAATGAATTTTACATCAAACAAATAAACAATTTAGACCTCAATGAAAAAAGGCAATAACATACTATTTGGAAAACGCATCATTTGTTAAAACATTGCTGTTTAATATGGCTGAACTTTCGCAAGAACAAAGTTCATCATCTACACAACCCGACAACTCGGAACAATCTGATGTGTTATTTTCCGTATTCAACAAGAAAGCCACACGTAAATTTCCTGAACATCCGTACAATGTGGCCGTGTTCGGATCTACAGATATCAAAATGTTGCATCGTCATTTGCAAATTCAGTGCAATGGCAATATGGGACTCGATCGTCGACTTTGCTTAATAGAATGCTGGGGTCATGAAAATCTATTGGTCTGTGGCGATTCTCAAAATAGACTGGATATCGCACTCTCCACTCATAGATTTCGCAACAAGGATTTAATATTTCTCCACATCGGTGCCGATGACTTAGCCAATCACGTCGAGCCATTGAAGGTTGCTGAAGATATCATTTCCTTTTGTGACAAATTGCTGAAAACGTTTCACCCTAAGTGCGTTATAATTAGCCGAATGATACAGCGCAATCCAGAACCGTTTGCAGGTTTCAACGACAATGTAATCGCAGCGACTTCTCGTATTCAAAGCATTTGTTTGAACCGCACAGATTTGAGTTTATGGCGGCATAAATTCGGAGTTGCAAATCCTGATAAGCCTTTGTATACCCCCGATGGAAAACACTTTTCCGAAATAGGTGCCAAGAGGGTGACAAAAAGTGTCCGCGATGCTGTTTTGCGACATGTAAGATGGTATTGTTTGCCTTGATTTTAAAGCAATCCTTAAACTAAAGGACTTCATATGAGGATGAGTTATCATGGTATGAAAATCATGTTACATCATGAATATTTATTAATTAGTTCGACGTTTACCTGTTGAAAGGTTTAGTATCCATGTGTTAAGGGGCGATAATCAATCACAGTACAACAATCCATTTTATTTTAACCCACAGAACCCTGATTTAATATTTACACTTTACTTCTGATACATCGCGAAATGCTGGATTGATCTGGAAACTGAAATTCTAATGCAAATTTTCTGGAAATATTCTGTCAATTTAATACACCATGGAATCTGTAACAAAACAGAAACAGCATATCGGCTTTAGGTGTTGAAATTACGGTAATGAAACTAGGCGATTATAAGAGGTATCGTTTAGCAGTGTAGTAAGACTGCATCTGCTTTTGGTGGTTGTAGGGCCTCAGCGTTGTGTGTGTGTGATGATCCAGTATGAACTCTTTGAAAAAACATCCTGGTTTAAACAGCTCCTTTGTAATGATTGTTAAATATAAGAACTGTGGGTATTATCATCTCACATTAAGCATATCATTATATCTGACTCAGTCATTATATATTCTTCAAATAGAAATCTTCATGGTTACGCATCTTATTATCATCTACAACATATATAATATGTAATGTTGAATATATACTTTAATTATAATGATTATTGTTACTTATATTTGACATAGATGATGGTGAGCTAATAGGCATCTTGATTCGTCTTCATTGCTAGACTCGAAATCATTATTGAATCTCTAACTGCTATATGTAATTAAAATATCAGGATACATCTAACATCACATACAGGTAAAACATCTACACTGAACATCTGTTAAAACCTTGTAATATAGTGTTTACATCACATTGTGTTGCCAGGTCAACATAGGGGAGGTAAGTTGGTTCCGCTATTGGTTTGTAGCAGCGTTGATTCTTTCACATTGTATTACAGCCTTTCCTACTCCTCTCTACTAACCCAATCCTACAAGACTTTCTTTTCCAAACGTTCTTGAAAAATGATCTCGTGTCCGATTCTAAGATACGATTGTCTACTCCCGCACTCCTATATGTTTC